GGATGAAACCCTAGTGTGTGACCATTCAAATGTAAGATATTGAGCAGTACTTTCATGTGGTACTGTTTATAAAGTGGTTCCAACATTTAAGTCCATGGAGTGAAACCCTAGTGTGCGACCATTAAAATGAAAGCTATTGAGAAGTACTGCAGAATAAATACATAACTGTTTATTTTCTGCTTGTTTATCACGATGCTACAATATTTTTTTTTCTTCATAGCATGAAAAAATACTGGGGAAAAGAGATACAATTCATACCAACCATGATATAACATATGCCTTTCACAAATGATAGAAGGATGATCGTCAAATTGAATACAAAAAAGTCATTAGTTACTTTGTTATGACATCACTTATCATTATTGTTCCAACAGTTGCATCTGTTACACTCACATGTAATTTTGCAAAGTTAGGAGACCGGTGGCAGGCTCGTTCACCTTGAATCAACTTTCTAAGAATCCAGTCTCTAAACTCATCATTCTAAAATAACAAAGTATTAAACCCTCTTAGAAATAATTGTTCGTCAATAAAGTACATATGCACAATTAGTGTGATTTGTCAAAATAAAATAAGTCAGTAAATTCACACCATAAATTATCAAATTTTATTTTCCGAGGAAAAACAGAAAAAAATGTATCTTCCGACATCAATAGCGATAAATATAATAATTATTTATAATCATAATAATATAATAATCATAAACCAACATTTGTAAATTCCACTTGCTACATATGTATTACTGCTGAAACATTTGGATAATTTGCAGACCATTTTGACTGATGCTACAGTTGACTCCCGAAAACTCAAATCTTCAAGGGAAATTGAAAAAGGTTAGAGTTATAAACTGTACAGGTTTTTTCACAAGGCTGCTTTAAAATAAATTCAATGTTTTGGACTACAGTACACTGTAGAGACTGTGAAAATCTTCTATTTTCAGGAAAACGTACCTTCTCAAAGATGTGCCTCTCATACAGAGGTGGATCATACGACAGCACATTATCCCTTGACACCACAGACACCTGCAAAAATAAGGACCTAATGACTTAGATGGTACCACTAGAAATTATTTGTTTGTTGATATTTGGCTCAAACAATGTTATTTAGAATCCATTGTAAGTTTGGGTCCTGAAATCTTGGATAAAATGAATGCAGAATAAAGATATTTAAGTAAGCCCTCACTGTGTATAGGTTGGGATTGTTCTCGACATCAACTTGCACAATGATGAAACTATGGAGAAAGTTTGATTTGATGCAGTCAGGAACAAACTTGGTTTTTGTAGCTTCCATGAAAACTACACAAACAATATCATTGCCAATGTGTCTCTTTCTTTGAAGCTGCAAGAAAAACAAAATTATTAGGCAGTCATAGCTGGTAACTAATAATATTAAAGTATATACTTGTAATTGTAGTGTTAAGCATAATTATAATTACCAGATGAAAGTGCTGCTTGAAAGTTCTTATTAATAATTGAATGGTTACACACTAGGGTTTCATCCACAGACTTAAAAGTTAGAACCACCTTGTACAGCATAATAACCAATACCACATGAAAGTACTGCTCAATAGCTTTCATTTGATTGGTCACACACTAGGGTTTTATCCAGAGGCTTAAAAATTATTAACAAGTTAGAATTAAGTGTACCACATCAAAACACCACTCAAGTCTTTCACTTGCATGTTTTGTTACTTCACGTTACTAACTTACCTCATGCCACTAACAATACTTACAACAGCAATATCTTCTTACAATATTAATGCTACTTACAATACTAGCATTACTTTTTTTTCCAGAACATTTCATACCAAATAAACTCAAACCTCCCGTAAGTGACCACCCAAAATGCCAAGCTTGGGTGATCACCTACAGGAGGTGGTCGCTTACGAGAGCTTACTGAATACACCATATTGGGTCAAAATGTGGCCTCATTAGCATAATTATGGTAGCTGCAGAGACTTACCCCATGTTTTAAATGTTATATTCAGGTGAAAAGTCATTTTAGAGAAAAAATCGATTGGTACTTGAACTTCCCATGTGAGAAATCTCCCCCTCTTGAACTATCCAGGAATATAATAACGTTATAATGTACAACACCTTATTGTCCAATTTTCACTCTATTATGTGTCAAATGGTCACTTATGGGGGGTTAAAAACAAAGGAGAATTTCAAACTTTTAGCCTTAGAAGTGGTCGCAGTCACTTAAGAGAGGTGGTCGCTTTACAAGAGGTTCCAAATATAGTCATATGACTTGGAAACTTTTCGTATTTTGGAAAAACTGGTCGCTCTGGAGAGGTGGTTGTATCTGGAGGTTTGACTGTACAATGTTCATTAACTAACTTGCATGGTTACACACACATGATCAACAGATTAACAATATTCTCTTTACTACCACTTTATTAAGTTACATTATATTGTCTCTTACCTTCTGAGAGTCAAACTCTTCAAATGGTAGAAGTGTCGATACGTGGAACATAACCTCATTGTTATTAAACTTGGTAAACACAGAGTATTTTCCTGTTAGGTCATTATTGCCATCCAGGCCTGCACGGTATTTATCAAAACCTCTCAGTCGGATCCTTTGACCCAACAGATCAAGGAAATCATCAAATGCTTTGCTGTGAGTCTCATTGCCAAATAGTTCTTCTTCAGTTTGTTGATCTTCCTTCATGTAAACCACACCAAATTTGTAGGCTTGCTTGTTGAATGCCTGCAAAATTTGTAAAGAAAGAGATTTTCCTCAAATTTACATTAGACCCTTACCTGTTAAAAAAAGATGTATACATGTACATGTATGACAAGTTGGAGAAGGGGTAGCCTCATGCTTAGTGTGCTAGACTCTGGATCAAATGGTCTGGGTTCAAGCCCTTGTTGGGAATACTGTGTTGTGTTTTTGGGTAAGACACTTTACTCTCAAAGTGTCTCTCTCTGCCCAGGTGCACAAATAGGTATCAGCGAATTTAATGCCATGGGTAACCCTGCCATGGACTAGTATCCTATTCAGGGGGCTGGGGCGTAGAAATATTCCTAGCGGCTTTATGCTACTGGAGGTACATGTAAGCTTTGGCCTGATGGCCACTTGGCTCATATGCAGTCTTTACCTTTTACATGTATAAAAGTAATAAAAATAACTAAAGTTAAGGGCCAAATTCATTGACCCTGGCCACTGACTTAGGTCATAATGTTGCGTTCCAATGGACATCGTCTCTAAGACAGTCTCCACTCTCACAGTGCCCCTCTTCAACCACCAGCCAAATGTTCAGACATTATGTAATTAAATGCTAATAGAAGTAGCATGCAATAGGCATAGTATATGATCAAGAGGGACATCCAAGAGGGTGCTAAAGGATCTTTTTGTGATTCATGAATGGCCTTATCTTTTTCCACTGAAATGAGAAATGGCTGGTTAAACATGTCATAAATCAGGATTCTGTTCTGTGATTTTCCAAATTTTAATTTTCTGCAAATTGAGAAATAAATGTTAAATTCGTCGTAGAACATTATTTCCACAACATCTTCTGTCTTGCTCGATACCCACTATAGTACGTGTTAAACATTCTGTAACCACGAAAGGCCAATTTGATCCTTTGGGGTTAGTGTTTAGTAACACAGGGTTTTCTTTCTGCTGCATGCAAATATGGGAGAGGAGCTGGGAATGGCAAAGATGTTGAACAAAGCTGCACTTTTGACATAATTTTCAACAACCTTGTGGATTATAAAAGGATCCGTCTACTTTCCAAGAAATGTGCTTTAGGCCCGGGAGAGACTGCAGTATATCTAAAGGATGAGATTGCCAATCAGAAATTTTGAAGTGAATCCCTAAGAGGTACCAATTCTAAAGCAACACATTATCTGACACTGATTTTTTGGGCTCAACACCCTTAAAGGTCCGGCAAAAGATCCTGCTGTGGACCCTTTGAGGCTGAACACCCTGAGAGGTACTAAACCCCCTTTTTAACCCCTAAAAGGTACGAAGAGCACCTCCATCCTTTTTATATGGGATCCCCTCCCCCAGGTCTAGGTCCCCTTTTAATAGATGTATATAAAGGGATGATTATTTAAAAAAAAATTAAAAAGCAGAAACTCACACTGTCCATCTTGAGAAGTTCTGCTGGTGCAGATGGAGCAGTAATGAGTTTCATAGTGGTCTTGATATCTGCTTGTTGGCTTAAAAACTGTATAACATCTTCTCGACTTGATAGACTACCATGGTGGTGAATTGAAGGCGAGAGCAGTCCAAATATAAGGTGATATGGAGAACGTACCATAATCCTACATGGAGAATTCACAATAACAATAATAATTTTCACATACTATACAAAGGCAATGAATATGTGAGAGATATGGTTCAACAGTTGGAGAGAACCAATACAATTCTCAGTCAACTTGCAGTCATTAGATTATGAGCTTAGGATTTCTATCATGTGATAGTTGATGATGATGCAGCTGAAGTTAATTATCACACATAGAAATCAAGAGCAAATAATCTTATTGTTTAAAATAAATCTACCAATCATTCAAAACTTTATCTAAATCCTTTTCACAGACACTTCGAAACACAAAGAACGCTATGGACGCCAGATTGTTAACAAGCGCACACTGCTAGGCTACTCACTATCTACAACAGAATAGATAGAAGTAGTATGCCCAATCAGTGAACGGCATTCATGATAGAATGCTAGTAGATTTACGCTAACTTAGTATTGTAATTGACAGTGGTGTAAGTAACCAGTATCATAAGTACAGTAAGTATGTCGTGTAATTAGCCATAAGTGGCATAGTGTATTGTTATTAGTATAAGTATGTAGTATTGTAAGTAATGTATTTTATTGTACTGTTAAAAAAATAGAATGTCAATTAAAAAAAAAAAAAGATTTATGCTTACTACAATTATTAGACATGAACTTGATATCTTTTTAAAATAGTTGATGAGGCCAAAGGCTGAATCATCTTAAGATAATTTTGCTTGTTAAAATACATCAAACCTTTTTCAGTGGATAAAAAATTATTCCATGACAACTGAATTTTTAAACTCAATATTTTTTACAAAAAATAGGAAAATTGTACTCAATTGATAACAAGTTTAGTTGAACGTGTTTCACAAATTTAGTTGAACGTGCGTTTCAGTGAACAAATGAGGTCAGATTTACTGTAAATAATACAGGAAATAAGAAAAGAATATTTATGCCCAAATAATCTATTCTATTAGTGAATTTTTCAAAGGTAATATGCTTTCCTGTGCTAAGTCATAAACTGGCAGCATGGACATTTTGCCAAAATGGCTTGTTAACATTATCGGCCAATGGCCATAGTTTGAACTTCGACAAGGCATTCAAATCCATTCAAATATTTCCATTAAGCCTTACAGCTGCTTAGATTAACAGAATAAAATACTCCATGCTAAGCATCCATAAGTAATAAGATATACATGTTGAGTGAAAGTTAGATCAAAGTTAATAACATTTTTGGTCTGCTGCATAATAAAAACATAGTAAAGGATAATATTTCATCAGTGGTTGATACTGATCAACAACCAAATATTGGCCGTTACATTTAACCAAGCTTATAGAGTTACACAATATATCTTTCAATAAACAAGACCATTATTTTAAATTGGAAAGTGAAAAAGGAAAACACATGGTCTATATTTACATGAAAATATTATCATAGCTCTATTCTAAATATAGCCTTTGCAAGAAAAAAAAACCTGAAAACGTTCAACACAGGTATCTCTCATTTGGCTTTCCGACAAAAACTATTTGCTGGCAAAAGTTCACAATTCACATCTGGATCGATGAAATATTGCCAATTTCAAAAGGTCGACAAATTATAAAACATAACGTGAATGCAAATTCGTATTAAATTAAGCCGAGCAAAAAAAAAAAAAAAAAAATAGAAAATCATTATCTTTCAATACGTTTTCAGCACATGACAATATGAAATTTTAACTACTCACCTAAAATAACCTTTTGAATGCGGGCTTGCCTCGGGTCTGAACGTAATAAGCACGAAACCAATGTCCTCTTCCCTTGTACAGAAATTCCAGTGTTTCACTCCGTAAAAGAAGTGTCGATAGAAATCGTCGGGGGCTACTGAAGCCGCTGCATGGCCACTGATTCTAGTTGAACCAAGATCGCAGTAGCTTTTAAACCGATTCTCGTGACTTTTCGTGAAAGAATCCCTCTGCGGGCATTCCTTTTCGGTGCATTCGGAATAATATCCCCTCACTCGTTGAACATACTTCGGTTCGCTGCAAGCGCACACCCTGCTATAAAAGCTTGATTCGTCTTGAAAATCACTGACAACGCTCTCTTCCTCAAGCGCTGCTTTTAAAGCAAGGCTTCTCGCTTTGAAGCTTTTCAGTGCCTGTATCAGTGCATCATTTTGGGAACTCTCGAAATGCGTTTTGCAGTACAGTCGATGTTCAATGGAAACCCCGCACGAGTCCCATTTCTCGTCCAATGTGGCCGAACACACAGAGCAAATAAAGCAATGTCGATGACAAAACAGTGGCTCAGAATTAAATCCAAAAGCGTTTGACGAAGGATTATGATTTATCGCGGATCGTAAACTCACCACCTCTCCAGGCGATTCCAAACTGGATTTACAAACGATGCAAATTCCCGCCATTAATCACACCGCCATAAGCCTGCGACTAAGTCTATTTAGCCTCTGCTGTCTCTCCTAACCGAAGAGCAAACAACTGGAAACACTTCACGCAGCAAATGTAAGCTAAGGATCTTTTAAAAACGTTCAACCAATTAACTCTTCTTTAAAAGCCATTAGTGACATTAGCCCAACATACGTGCTCTGATCTCCCCTCGAGAAAACTGGGTCTTCCAGCCATTAAATTAGGCCACACTAATTTGTTTCTCTTTAGGCTAGCAGCTTAGCTCATAAAATAATCATGAGAAGTATTGTTTTCGTTTTCAGCTGCACATCTGTAGCGCTCAAACAGTCGGGGGCCATTGTTGACAGGTAACGACACATTTCTCAGACGCTGTTGACAGGCGGTTGATGTCAATAACGTTGTTTACAGAAGTCACGGTATTCTTCTGGTCATTCTGTGCCACGTATAACATCTATTCATTTGCTGTGGCGCTTCTGGACAATCCAGCTTCTTCTCCATTATGTAAAATTGGTAAATCGAGAAGAAACCACGGTGAGAAACGCAAACATTTCAGCAGATGTCTGTAAACTCACCTCGACTTCCCCGACTTCCTCCACAAAAACAATGAGCCAGCGAATATCAGACCAGTGGTATCCCGCAAGACGTTTGCAAAGGTACATGGGTAGTTTAGTTCCAAGATGGCGGACAGTAACACAGATGAGGTGAGGGGACAGTTTAAGTTTTGTTCTCTCTGCCGATTGAATCACGACCAAGGAAGAAAACACATTTATTCACGAAAACATAAATCCTTGCTTGGAAAGACTCTGATGAAATTTGGAAAAAAGGTTTGAGACTTGTTATCGTTGCACTTGCTTGATTTGTTGTGTTTTGTATTAAAAAATAAGCTTAAGGTGGCTTACTACAGTTTTGTTGGATGATAGCAGCCCATCTTCTTACTCGTTTGAAAAATGTTCTAAGATGTTTTTCCTATCTCTATTTACTGTTTGTCTTTTACCATTCTATGTGAAACTTGAACAATTTTATACGTCAGCAAATGGCCAAAATGAACGACCGGGTAACTGAGGAGAGACTGGGCAGTAATACGTTAAATGACATTTTCCTCAAAATCTACTCATACGACCCCACCTCAAAATTACAGGAATTAGAAAGTGGCTCTGATCAAAAATTAAGGCAAAGTAAAATAAAAATCTGTAAGACAGATTTTTGCGAACTAAGAAAATGTGAAATCAAAAATAGCTCAAAATCTGTGGTACAGATTTTTTTTAAATTTTGGCTCTAAATGTGATTCACCCCTACAAATCAACTGTGAAAATTTCAGCCTGGGTTGTGTGGTAGGTTTTTGAGCAATCCTCAGTCAAAGACTGGCTTTTACAACCTTGGATGGGAATTGAATCGCACATGCCCTTTATTTAAGTGCATGGTCATGTGATGCCATGTATCAGGAGCGAGAAAACAGGAGTAAATTAGAGCTCTTTTACTGGTTGTTTATCTACCTTTTTTGTCATATTTTATTGGCCCTAGGTTTTTTGAAGCTATTGTTACATATACCAAAGTGAATTAACATCTTTCATGTGTGGAAGTGGTTTTTGGTTACTTAATTGTATCATTTTTGCACATTTGGCTAATACTGATGTCTGGCAGATAATCACAGCACAAGCTACTGAGTCTCGGAAAAACTGTAGTAAGCTACCTTAAGCTAAGCATAATTTGAATTTCCTTGATCAGGTTGACGAGGCAAGAAAGTTTCTAAGGAAACCTTCTGTAGAGGATGGTGAGCTAGAACCAGGATCAAGATTCTGGTGTCATTTCTGCACTGAGAATGTTAACAAACATGTGACTGATAGAGATGTCACCATCAAGTATGGTGGAGTTTTTGAGCATTTTGCAAGGTGAATAGTTTCAAAGCACAGCAATATTTCAGTAAAGCTCCATCCTTAATTTTTAACTATAGGATTCAGACCTTTGCCCAGGGTTCATCTCTCTCACACCCCGACTTCAGTGAGGCCAAAGTAAAAAACTCTAAATCTGAGAGATCACCAATTTTCCTTCTTAAACCCTGAAGAAAATTGTTCAAAGTGGAGCTCCACCAATTCAGCCACAAATATACTTCAAATGTCCAAAAACAATTTCCCAAAATAGGTCAAAAATTATATATGTGTGAGAAAACATACTTTATGTACTGTCCTTGGAGACACAGATTCAGCCTGTATCCAGTAGACTCCCAGATAATCTGTTGAAGTTGACATAGATGCACTCTGCCTTGGTAATGCATCTTGGCAATGAGTAAAGTTTCACGTTTGCGAAGTTTGTGTACAGCTTCCATACATGAGTTTGGACTTCACAGGTTTAAAAGTCTTAATATTTAATTGCTCCTTAAGTTACATGCTTGTCATGATTATTTCCAGTGAGAGTCACAGAAAGAATCTCCACCAGTACTGGTGGGAAAATGGAGCTGATAAAAACCTGAAAAGCAAGTTTCTGGTTGACAAGGAAAGATTTAGCAGGTTTGTACAATTCACAAGGCTGTATTTAATTCTCTTTGTAAGGTACTGTATTATTAACACTGAGAATCAGAATGGCCAGGAACACCAAGGGGATATCACTTTGAAATCTTGTGATTTGAAAACAATAATAATATTTCTGATTGGTAAGTAGTATTTCATGTCTTAATTTCGGCACACATTACAATGTACAATGTATACAATGGTGACTACAATGTGCAATTTCTGTAGTGAAACAGCAAACATGATCCATATTATTATACAGGTATTACAAATCTACATGTTTGATACTTGTTATGACATATTGCCTTCGTTTGTCTCAAATTTGAAAACTAAATATGAGGCTTTCTAGCAATTAAAGTTAAATTTTTCAATGGGTGTCACCCGTATACGCCTGAAACTTCTTGTATAAAGAGAACTTCTGTTCATATTAAGAATATGTGAATAAAACAGCTTTATAATTGTAAGGTTTGAGATTTTGCTACAGCTTTCTGGGTGTGAAAACTTTTAGGGACCTTCAAGAAACGGGCCCCAGGGCAATGAAAATTAGGCCATCATACTTCCATAAAATGCCATCAACAACAGAGATCCTTTAAAAGAATAGACAGTTGAGGCCATAATCATTCCAGTAACAAAAACCATACAGGGTAATAGAGTTGAAGTTTTTTGTTTCTATGATAATTATGTGAAGAGAAAAATAGAAGAAATTTCTGTTCTCCTTAGCTATAAAGAAGAGGTTGATAAAAAACTAAAGGAATTTGAAACTCAAATGGAAGAGAAAAGACGGAAGGTAAAGTGTAAGAGAACAAGTTAATAATCTGTTTTGTTTGAAGATGTCACAGGATACAATGTACATGAGATTGTATTTTGTTTCTTGATGGTTTTACTGTGGTGTTATCTTAATATATGTTTTTTTCCAATAACTGACTGAATTCTTGCACCTTCATTGGTCAAGTGTTATGGTTGACAAAAGTGTAGCTCATGAAAATGGCATGCCGTGTAACACATGATGCAGTAGAAAGTCTTTTCAGTACCAGCTGTAACATGCAACTTGTTAATGTATATATCACTAAATTGATTCATGACAAGTCAAGAATAGTTTTCTTTTTTAAAATGATTATAGAACAATCCAGTCTTTGTAAAGGAATGGTCACTGGAGTAAATTTATGTGTGACTTACTTATCGTCTTCGAATGATTGTTTGCGAAATAATGCTATTTAATATAAATTTGTGAAAGAAAATAAAGTAATTATTTGACCATACCTTTCCATGGCTACATGTACTTCCAGCTGTTGTGAGTTATGAACAGCATTTAATATATTATGCTCTATTATAGCATTATTCCTATGTTCTATAAATGGGTTATTGACCAAGTGTGAGGTCAAGATGGCTGGATATTGGCCAAGTTCTTTTTTTGCATGTTTATGGACCAAGATGGAGTCGAGGTCCATAAA